ACCACCTCTGCAGTCCAACAAGCTGTCAGCAGATAAAATGCAATTTCTTCACAATCAAGATACACAGCCCGAGAAAAAGCTCGATAAATCTAGTCCTGGCAGACTTGTCATTCCCGACTTTAATCAAAATACTTTCACTGCACAGGTCAAAGAGACTGAGCCATCGCCCAAAGTCGACAAACTCAAAGCCGAAGAGTGGGTAACTCAGGTATTTCCTCAAGAAGAGATCAGATCAGAGCCACCATTCCACGCAAACAGGCTCTCAGCAGATAAAATGCAATTTCTTCACAAAGATGATACACAGCCTGACAAAATGTTCGAGAAATCTAGCCCTGGAAGACTTGTTATTCCTGACTTTAGTCAAAGCACTTTCACCACAGAGATCAAAGAGACTAAGTTATCGCCAAAAGTCGACAAAATCAAAAGTGAAGAGTGGGTAACACAAGTGGTTACTCAGGATAAAGTCAGATCAGAGGCACCTCTCCAAGCAAACAGGCTAGCAGCAGATAAAATAGAATTTCTTCACAACCAAGATACACAGCCCAAGAAAATGCTGGATAAATTTAGTCCTGGCAGACTTGTCATTCCCGACTTAAATCAAAGCACTTTCACCGCACAGGTCAATGAGACTGAGCCATCGCCCAAACTCAAAACTGAAGAGTGGCTAACACAGGTAGTAAGTCAGGAAGAGGTCAGATCAGAACCACCCCTACAGGCAAACAGGCTGTCAGCAGATAAAATGCAATTTATTCACAACCAAGATACACAGCCCAAGAAAAAGCTCGACAAATCTAGTCCTGGCAGACTTGTTATTCCCGACTTTAATCAAAGCACTTTCACCGCACAGGTCAAAGAGACTGAGCCATCGCCTAAAGTCAACAAACTCAAAGCTGAAGAGTGGGTAACTCAGTTAGTTACTAAGGAAGAGGTCAGATCAGAACCACCCCTTCTGGCAAACAGGCTGTCTGGAGATAAAGTGCAATTTCTTCACAACCAAGATATACAAGCCGAGAAAAAGTTCAAGAAATCTAGCCCTGGAAGACTTGTCATTCCCGACTTTAATCAAAGCACTTCCACCACAGAAGCCCAACACACTAAGCCATCGCTCAAAGTCGACGACATAAAAAGTGAAGACTGGGTAACAGAGGTTCTTATTCAGGAAGAAGTCAGATCAGAATCACCTCTGCAGGCAAACAAGCTGTCAGCAGATAAAATGCAATTTCTTCACAACCAAGATGCACAGCCCGAGAAAAATCTCGAAAAATCCAGCCCTGGGAAACTTGTCATTCCCGACTTTAACCAAAGCACTTTCACTACAGAAGTCAAAGACAATAAGACATCTCTCAAAGTCCAGAAACTCAAAACTGAAGAGTGGGTAACACAGGTTGTTACCCAGGAAGAAGTCAGATTAGAACCACCTCTCCAAGCAAACAGGCTCTCAGCAGATAAAATGCAATTCCTTCAATATCAAGATACACAGCCCAAGAATAAGCTTGTCAAATCCAGCCCTCGAAGAGTTATCATTCCCGACTTTAATCAAAGTACTTTCATCTCAGAGATCAAAGACACTAAGCCATCGCCCGAAGTCGACCTTCTCAAAACTGAAGAGTGGGTAACACAGGTAGTTACTCAGGAAGAGGTCAGATCAGAACCACCTCCCCAGGCAAACAGGCTGTCAGGAGATAAAATGCAATTTCTTCAAAACCAAGATGCACAGCCCGAGAAAAAACTCGAAAAATCCAGCCCTGGCAGACTTGTCATTCCCGACTTTAACCAAAGCACTTTCACTACAGAAGTCAAAGACAATAAGACATCGCCCAAAGTCAAGAAATTCAAAACTGAAGAGTGGGTAACACAGGTTGTTACTCAGGAAGAAGTCAGATCAGAACTACCTCTCCAGGCAAACAGGCTGTCAGCAGATAAAACTCAGTTTCTTAACAACCAAGATACGCATCGCGATAAAAAGCTCGACAAATCCAGCCCTGGCAGACTTGTCATTCCCACCTTTAATCAAAGCACTTTCACCACAGAGGTCAAAGAGACTAAGCCATCGTCCAAAGTCGACAAACTCAAAACTGAAGAGTGGGTAACACAGGTAGTTACTCAGGAAGAAGTCATATCAGAACCACCACTTCAGGCAAACAGGCTGTCAGCAGATAAAATGCAATTTCTTCACAACCAAGATACACAGCCCGAGAAAAAGCTCGACAAATCCAGCCCTGGCAGACTTGTCATTCCTGACTTTAATCAATGCACTTTCACCACAGAAGTCAAAGACATCAAGCCATCGAAAAATTACTTCATAAAGGATATACATTCTACTAACGGTGGGAATGCCTTGTCATCTGAGATGGTTAGGCATATGAAGAGCCCTAAAAATGTCATTGAATTACAAAGTCGTGAATTACCACTTACCCAAAAGAGAGAGTTAACGGATGAATGGAAAGTGGAGGATAAAGGAAACGAAGATTGGCGATCACAAGCACCACAACCTTTAAAGGAGTCATTGGAAAAACTTAGATCACTTTCTAGAACCCAGGAAATGCATTCAATGACAGGATCTGATGTGTTACCGAAAAATTCAAATGTGCCTCTGAGGGGTACTGACAACACCTTCTTCATTCAGATTCAAGATGCAGCCTTCACAACTGGAAATTACAAAGATGAGCAGGCGATAAGGCATTATCTGACTGAATTACCTGCGGGAAAAACAGGGTTTGTTCGATCAAGGGAAACAAACCAAGTTTTAAAGTCAGATAGAGCTCATTCCTCCGACAGCGTTGTAATTCCCGTTGAACCGAAACAAGTTTCTTCTTCTTCTGGAGTCGTCATACATAACAGTGAGAACTGGATAACTCGCGCAAATACAAGTATATCGCCTGCAGAGAAAGAAAAGATTTTTTTCCATGCCGGTGAGGCACGTCAGGCTGTAAAATTAGGAGGGGTCTCATCTAGTGGCAGCGCAGTCATTCCCATTGAAATAAAGGACATTTCTTCGTCACCAAAAGTCCAGATACATGATGGAAAGACGTGGACTACTCGGCAGACCTCAGTTAAGTTGTCAAGAGATGACAGATCCTTTGTAAGTACTGGCGAAACTAAAGAAGTCATAACGTTGGATGGCTCTTCATCCAGTGGTGTTGTGATTCCAGTGCAAATTTCAAGCGAATCTTTGACTACAAACGTCAAGATATATAGCGGCCAAGTCTACACACCCTGATACGTTCAAAAAGAAAGGCGTAAATCACAAACCGCTTCTCTCAAAATCGTTATATTCTGAGCTTGACTGGCGATGGAAAAGTCCAAAATTTCATCAAAAATGCAATAACACTTAAGACATATTATTGGCAGTACCCCTGGTTAAATTCGCAGTAAGTTGCCGCTGGTCTTCCAAGAATGTTCTTTTTTTTTTAATTTAAGCGGTGCCGTGGTTTGCGTCATTGACCAAGGCTAAGAGGAAGTACAAGTAACCTGCACATAATAGGTCAAACTTTTAAGTAAGAATTATCTGCTCAGTCTCATACTTTTCTAAAGTAAAGCCGTTTGAGCCCGAAAGCGAAAGGCTGCATTGGCAATCTACTGCTTTCGCCCTTGTCTTCTCTGTCTGATAATTGTATGCATATAATGAAGTTTGGGGCTGTGCGGAAATCTCAGCAAAGTTTCTTCAGAGGCTCTTAAAGCTCCTGGTAATGCAAGCGGAATGTATAAAGTGTATCATGACTTTCACTGAATGAGTTATCTTGATCGGTTGGAATCACATCAAGATGACTGGCATGCAACAAGTAAAACCTAAATTACGAGAAAGATGTAGATTAGACAATTAGACAGGAGCAAACATGGTCTATTTTTTCACTTGCTTATGGTAATGATGGAATCAATTTTGTTTATTTATGAGCTTTTAAAAAGTACAGTGACCTGTTTGCTTATACTAAGTCAAATTCTCAGTTGAGAAATATGGTGGAGTCACATGAATTTACAGTTGATTTTATTGTGAATTCATATATTTTCTGAAATTTGATCTTATGTTTTCTAAATTCGTTTTTTGTTTGATTTTAGCAAATGTTGCATCAGAGTTCCCAGCTTTTGTTTGGACAACTCTACCACTTCAATGGCTACAAATAATCTTCAAAAAGCAGCTTGCATAATGACTTAAATTAGAAATTAGGCAAGGTAAAAAAATTTGTATAAAGTATATTATACAATGCATTAAATCAATAAGGACAAATAATTCTTGTTAAAAAAAAAACAATAAATAAATACTCCTTGGTCCATTTTACTTGTCTCACTTAATATGTTGAGATATTTATGAAAATTAAGCTTGAATTAATTAACAGTTTGAGATATACAAGCTGTGAGAAACAAATTGGATGACAACAATAATATCAAAACACTAAATCCTAAAATATGACTTGACATACCCTGCTATATTTTCTACAAATTATTCAGCAGGGGGCTATAAGCTTAATCCAAAAAATTGCCTTATTAATGATCGAGAGCACTGATAAAAACATTAAGAACTTACCTCAAAAGCTACATAGATACTCCAAAATCAGCAGAAGGGAAATCAGCTTTATCCTTAGTCAGTACTGTTGAAAAAAATGTAACTACTCTGCTTTCATCAGAAACTAAAAAGTTTATGATTAATTGGTGGAATGTGTCAAGCAATTTCATACTGAATTGATACAACTGAATTAGATATTAAGGAATCATTAGTGGGATGCCAATTTGTCTATAAAAAGTGTATCTACATGCCTTAACATTCTAGCATGCAGAAGTTTTGGCAAGGGCAGTGTTTTCAGAAAGCAATTATTAGTTGATCCCAAACAATGCAGTAAGGTGAAATTGAGTGCAAAAATATTGAAACTGAGAACAGAAACTTGAAAAGTGTCCCCTTACAAAGTTTACCTATAGGTCCATGCATTGTGCTCAAAATCACTTTGATCAGCTAGTCAAATGAGACTCCATTGATTCCATACCATAACTTATCAGATCATTAAGGTAACAAGTGGGTAGAAGTCTGTTAAAGGGTCTAAAATGACAGTGAGCCCTGAAGTATAGGACACCCCTTCCTTAGCTTTGAAAATAAATGAGAGTGATATCTTATTTGTCATGTCCTTAGGCATCTGTAACATTTCAGCATTAGACCCCACTAATCTGAAATATCTCCCTTACTCTTGATAAGGGACTGTGCAGCCATAATCTGCTTGAAAAGAAATGATTCATGGGTTACAGTTACATTGGAAGGTAGTTCTGTTAGTACAACAAATTGCCCTGTACTTCTGTAGTTGGCATGCAAGGTCATATGGTGTTTAAATTTGGTCTTATTTATAATCCATTTGACTACTTATAGTGCCCAGTGTTACAGCTAAACAAAAATGTGAAACAAGTTACTCTGATTTAATCCACAATGCTTCTTCTCTTTCTACCCATCACAACATGATTCAGGGTAAAAAAAGGGATACATTGTGGTATAGAATTCAATGTTATCCTTAGCCATGTGCAAAACCTTAAATCAAGACTATGACAAAATCTATGGAACAAGATTCATGGTTATTAGCAGTCTGATTTAAGCTCTTATGAATCAGTGTATGCAGCATGCTTGTAATTGGAAAGTGTAATAGGAGAGGTTACTGGCCACACATGTGTAATTGAACAGTATGTCTTTTGTGCACTATCTTGGTTGTATGGTAAGCTGAATCATACATAATTTTTTTTGGTTCTTACCCATGATCTATTGGAAGACAGAGGCATAGATGAGGTCAGCATTATAACAACTGTTAATAATCATAATAGGACCAGGTGGAGTGCAATTCAGTCTGTAACCATACAAGTCTGATTTGTTAATAATGAGTATGATTACAGACAGAATTGAATGACACAAAGTCCTGTAACCAATTAAACAAAACTATGACAACTTAGTTTGAGAAAGAAACTAGACATTGGTTATACATTTTCATGAAAAAACAACAACATTGGCTTCCATCCAATTGGATACAAATGTGAAAATATTCGCATTGGTTTTGAATAGGAAATAATTGTTGTTGTTATTTTTTGTCGTTTGGTTTTCAAAGATTAGAATTAAAGCAAGCAAAGTTACGAATAAATTTCATCGTTCTCGTGTAGAGTGCTCGCAATTAAAGTTTAAAACCTAATAAAAATGTCCAACAATTAATATTCAGCTTTTGTTTGTATGCAGTTAAGAAATATTTCTTAATAAAGTGCGATGATCTATGCTTTTTTAGGTCGGAATGGAAGCTTGTTTCCAAAACCCTGATTCCAAATATCTGGAAAATTTTACAGATTGTCTAAATCTTCTCTGAAATTTCCCAGTGGAGATATACCAGCGTTCCTTACGAATAGCGAAATGACGCGATTTTCAGCTTGCCTGCGCTTTAAATTGAGTTGTTTTTGTAAAGATACTCTTAATCTTACCTTTGTTTCCCTCTTAGATATAGATCATAGAAACCATTCTGAAACGAGGCTGAAGCAGCCACGTTTTTGGCGCGAAAACCTGAGCCTTCAGACTAGTGACGTACACACGTTCTTGCAGCCAATGAGATTTGAATAATTGCGACATAGGTGATACCAAGTGGGAGAGAGAGACAGAGAGGAAGGGAAATCCATTTATTTCCTGAGTTCCTTTCTCTAATTTTGTAAGGCACGGAAAAAGTTGATGGCTAAAGATGGATATGTTGCGTAAGTGATAGTGGAGAGGAAATGATCGCAATGAAATATTTATCTGGAATGGACTATCAGACTGCAAAAACATTCTGGGAATAGTTTCCTATTAAGATTAGCCTTGAACTGCTTGCTGCTTACTTAAACGGCAAACAGTGAAAAAAAAAAAAAAAAAAAAAATTAGCATAAGATAATATACACTGTCTCGGAGACGTCTCATGCATCAGTGAAATCTTTTGTCAACAATATACTGCTCTTTATATCATGCCGCTCTGACGAAGAGCAAACGCTTGAAACGGGGATTCTTTACGGTAGCCAATTTACATATACCCCCACCGATGCAGAACTATAGTTTCTTTAGAAACGTTCCCCCTTTCGTCATATATTTTTAGAAAGATGAGCCCAAATATTTGTCGATATCGTTGTGCAAAGAAAGATAATTGGTCGCTACTGAGGATTCAAACTTCAAGCATATCAATTTTGTGGTGGAATGCTCTATCAACTTATCGTGTTTATTTTTTTGTTTTCTTTGTTTTTTTTTAATAAAATTTGGCCATGTAAAAAAGATTTTCATTTTTGAGTTGATCAAAAGAAAAGGAAAATAGGCACGATTAAACCGCCATAGAAAGAGAAAAGGTCTTAATGAAAGTAAACGGTCTTTAATTACAAACAGGAAATATTGAACAAACAACGTGACGTTTAGCACGATGCGAAACCGGAATAATTCAACTTGAAAATTTTAATTTCAAATATGTTTGGCAAAGCTTAGGTCGATCGACGCCAATAGTTAATGTATTTCTGCGATTTGCGGATTGCCAGCTGTCGAGGACAGCGTGCCTCGGCAAATTTTCTTTCTTAAGGTAATTTGGCTTTATGATGCAAATTAACCACCGTAAAGAGTTTCTAAAGCTAACATTTGACATTTGAAGCATTTAATAGCTCTTCGTTTGAGCGAATAACCGGAAGGGCTAATGCTTGCAATGTTAGCTTAAGAAACTCTTTACGGTGGCTAACTTGCATCATCGATTTAGTCGATAAAACCAGATTACCTTTCAAGAACCCCCACCGACGCGGCACCGCAATTCTTTTAAAGAATTTCTCCACCTTTAAAGAAATTTCCGTTCACAATTTATTTCAATTTCGTGAGAATTAAATTTTATTCGAAATACCTAAAAATCGTGACTCATACCCTGTCTTCAAATTATTGTCAAATAACTCTTAGTTAAAGACGTAATGATCACGAAAGTGAACCGTTGCATGTCATCAAATTACATAAAAGGCCAATTGACAGTCACGAACACTTTCATGTAAATACAGCCATTACGAGTATTTGGCTGTAGGTACTCACGTTCGTAATAGCATGTTACTTTTAAGAAGCAAAACGTTGTTTACTTTACTTCAGTTTCGCTGAGTTCGCCACGTGAAGTGAGAATGGCACCCACACGCACCTAAATTTGTAACAAAGAGCCTAAGCAACCGGATGGGTTAAACGGAATTGTTTTAAGATTAATCTGCAAGTTAATGATTCGTACTAATTTTAAAACTTTTGTCGCGTCATTGATCGAGGTCGACAGTAATGAACCATCAAGGTCTTCTCAGCTCTTTCTTCATTCTGTGTATTGGTGTATTTACCGGAATCACGGTTTCCATCCAAAGCCATGTTCAAGAGAGAATATTCAAAGACGGTGACATAAATTTAGGTGGAATGTTTCCTCTCCATTTATTCAAGAACGGTCAGGGATCGTCGTCATCATGTACGGATCTTCGCTCCCGAGTGTTGCTTCTATCAGAGGCCATGATATACGCCGTCGATGAAATAAATAGAAATGGCACAATTCTTCAAAATGTGACGTTGGGCTACGACATTCGCGATACGTGCGGCAACGAACAAGAAGGCATTTCTATAGCGTCGGATTTTGTTTACGAGAATGCACTTAAACTTGACCCACGCTTCTCTGTGACAAACTCTTGTCGTGCGGAAGTCGCGCCATCAAAGGAAGCAACTGTAATAGCAGTCATTGGAGGACTGGATTCTCGTGTTTCTGTCAACGTGGCAAATGTACTCCAAGTACAAGATGTACCGCAAATAAGCTACGGGGCGTCAAGCGCTGAATTAGCGGGAGCGGAGTTTACATCGTTTTTTCGCACTGTTCCAGTAGATACCTTCCAATCACAAGCTATGGCAGAACTGGTTGCGCACTATGGGTGGACCTGTGTGGCAGTAATCGGGGTGGATGACTGGTACGGTCGTAGTGGCGTTGACGCTTTCGCTACCGCGGCCAACGAAACTGGAATCTGTATTGTGTTACAAGAACTGTTCCCTGTTCACGACTCGGAAACCCAAATACAGACCATGATCAGTCAACTGAAAAACATGGGTCAAGTTCAGATTATAATATTATACAGTTTATCACCTCAAGCGATAAAGGTCTTTGAAGAAGCAGTGAAGCAAGGTTTGACCGGGAGGACCTGGATCGCGAGTGACGGGTGGTCAGAATCTTCATTGATTCTTCAACCTCGCTTTAAGCCGATTATACAAGGCGCAATAGGATTTGGATTCCACACACATAGGTTTGAAGAATTTGAAAAACACGTCACAGAAATGACGCCTCTTTTGCGAAGAGGGGCTTGGTGGAATGAATTTTGGGAAATGGAGTTCAACTGTTCGATATCTAATTCGACGCATGCTCAGTTTAAACCCTGTTCAGGCCATGAGAGAGTCAGCCCGGAAAGATACAAACGAGATTACCACAACGCAGGCGCAGCCTATGTGAGAGATGCGGTATACTCAGTCGCGAATGGACTGGGTGAGATACTTAACTGTCACGCCCAGACCCCCTCTTGCTCTGAGTGGTTTTCCTCACTCCGTCCCGATGATCTATTGACAAGCCTAAAAAAGGTTTCATTCACAGGGCTTACTGGCTATATTGACTTCCGAAATGGGCGGGTTCAGGCAGCTTACGATATTTATAATCTTCAGGAGACCGAGAAGGATGGGTTTAAGCTCGTTCAAATTGGAACGTGGGATGAAGGAAATGCGCATGCACAGGGACTAAGGCTACAAGACGATTTAGTGCAATGGCACAGAGGTATTAAACCGCGCACCACTTGCGGAGAGATCTGTCCTTCTGGAACTTACCGAAGTATCCCTAATCAGTGCTTCTGGGAGTGTGTCCCGTGCGATAAAGACACCGTAAGCGAACGATCAGGCAGCACCGAATGCAAGAGTTGTCCCAAAGGATACATATCCAATGAAAACAACACAAAGTGTGATGAGGTGCCCATTGAGTATATTGAATGGGATGAACCGTGGGGCGTGGCACTCTCTGCCCTTTCAGCCTTCTGCGTACTTCTTACATTAGTTATCCTGGCAATTGTCTTGCAACATCGTAAAACTCCAATAATCCAAGAAACGGGTGGATTTCTTAACTATGCTTTCTTAGTGGTGATACTTTTGTCGTATATTTTCAATTTAGTCCACCTCACCAAGGTGTCCGATCTGACTTGTCGCATGCTCCCTCCTTCGTTTTACGTGATATACACGGCTGCAGCCTTGGTGCAATTCCTTAAGGTTTATCGCATCCGCCTTCTCCTGAAGCCACCCACACCACCGGCTACCCACGACATGAAATTGGTCTACATAATCGTGGTGTTCGTGTGGATTCTTCCCGTTTTTATCTCGATCATTTGGATAATTTCAGACCCTCCTATATTTGAAAAGTACATTATATCGAGGTTGATAATTTACGGTATTTGCACACCTTATCAAACCAACGTTGGAATGGCGTTACGTTATATGAGTGCAATTATTTTATCGCTAATTATTGTTGGCGCTATGGTGGTAGCCTACAGTACTAAAGGTCTCCCACATAAGCAGAAATTTGACGAAGCCAAACACTTAGCGTTCTCACTGACTGTGTTTACCGTCACTTTTACCACATTTTACCCAGGATGGTCTCTTATAAAGGGCCCAAGTTTGACAGTGTTCGCATGTAAGACCAATTTAGTCGCCGCTACCGGTACAGTCCTTTGTATTTTTGTCCCCAAGCTGTGGCTCATTTATCGCTTTCCCCGTCACAACACCCTAACCTACGTTCGTCCTGCGCCCCAGATAAAGTCAAAAGACGTCAGATCCACAACTATGTTGTCAATCGGGCAGGTTGCTCTAAAGATAGGTGATAGCCCCTGTGCGAGCTAAGGATCACCGAAGGCGCAACGAGACTCAACGAATACGTAAAAAGGCTTGCCGAAGACGAGACAAGGCTCTCCGTTATTGAAAACGAAACAAGGCTCACCGAAAACGCAAAGAGAATCGCCGAAGAATCATATAAAACTTAACCTCTAACTCCCATGAGTGACCAAGATAGAATTTCTCCATACAATATTGATACAATATCGGGTAGACAGTGATGAGAATAAAGAAAAATATCAGCTAGGGGATTATACGTTGATCCAACACTAAATTCTCCAAACTAACATCACAAGAACGGTATGGCAGACAATAAGGAGAATTACTAATGAGATCTTGGGAGTTAAAGGGTTAAGTGAACTTCTCTTTACAGGAATGTTATAGTACTCTTATTCGATTATTCAATTTTTGTAAGATTTTGGGGCACTTTTTAACCCTTTAACTCCCAGATCAAATTTGTTATTCTCCTTACTGTCAACCATACAATTCTTATGTTAGTTCAGAGAATTTAGTATTGGATCAACTAATTGTCCCCAAATTGATAGTTCTCTTTATTCTCATCACTTATCTGGTCGATGTTGTATTGATATTGTAAGGAGAAATTCTGTCTTGGTCACTCATGGGATTTAAAGTGTTAAAAATCATTTGGCATTAAGTAGGTCAAATTGGGGTATAAGGGTCAACTATTTGTCAAATGAAGTGATGGTTGAGATATTTATTGTATTAAATAATTCTTAATGTTTGTTTGTCTGTAATAGTCTTGGAGTAGGATATCAAGAGGAGGGCTGACCCACTCACTGTGTCTTGAGCTCTCTTGTATTTAATTAAGAAATATTCTAAAGGACTTTGTAAAAGATTGCAGAACTGACAAGCTAAGACAGTTAGATAGTAGAAGAGGAGTTAACCAGACCACAGACGGCGGATTGGGCAGTCTACAGCCCCTCCTGGTGATAATTTAGAGGGGGGGGGGGAAGGTGGGTTTACTCTCCTCACATTTCAGCATCAACAGCGCAGCACAGCAGTGAAGCTTAAAATTAGTTGGCAAAATATTCAGACATGCAATCTTTTCAAATAGTTTCATCAGGATCATCATAGTGTAATTATTTTATGTAACACTTTTTTTCATTTAAACAGCTCCAGCTTATGTTTGGAAAATTTGGGTAAGGGTATGTACTTGGGTTAGTATACGAGGTGAGCCCCCCCTCCTACACATGCTGCCTCTGCAGACAGTCAGACAAACATATCAATTTCTAATCAAATATAAACAGAAAAAAAGAGTATTAACAATGCATGATAAAATCAAATTACTTTTTACTTGCAATTGTTATGTCATTTCAGCTAGTCAGATAGGTACTACGTACGGCTCTGGAAGAGGGGCTTACAGAGCATTAAAGCCTTTTTTTTTTACAGTAATCATTAGTGCTGGGCCTCGAGGAAGAGGGCCAATTCTCTCCACACTGAACAAGTTTTGTTCTTAAGTGCATGATACTGTGATCATGTGATAATCTCATTAACAATTCCCAGTTTTGCTGCATTTGAAAACGTCCCTGACAGGTCTTGTTGGAAAATGCTTCATTCACATTGTGAGGGTAGGGGAAAATGTAAGGCTAGGAAGGGGCAGAATTTCTGAATGCCAAAATTTTGCATTTCTTTTGACAAAGGTTGTAAGTCGATCATGCCGCATTAAACTCCTGAAACCTTGATGGTACATTATTGTTCTGATGATTGATCTATTGGTGTTGTATTTGACAATGACAGTCCAATACTGTTGCAAAGAAAGGTAGCATCACACTGGATGCCATGACAGTCCAATACTGGTACACTATACATTATATGGGTATAACAATATCAGATCTCAAACATCATGGTCCTGTCCTGCTGGTTGTTCTGTTAGGCATAGAGTATGGGTGAACACTGGCAGCTGCCTTAGTGTCTGTTTTAACAGAGCTTGGAGCTTTATTTGTAGATTTGTCACTCATCCAGCTACTTTGTGCTGTAGCAAAGAAAAAAAAGAATATCACCTTTAAGAATTATTGTTTGTTTATGTATCAGATAATGTACTCTGTATGCATTCCTAATGAGCTATCATTGAAACGATGAAGCCCTACATGTATTATAAATTTTAATCCACTTAGAGTTTCTTTCATCATATATACAGTTTTAATTGATGGGACACAATTCATTCTCAAGTTACATATACTGTATTTTTCCAAGGAAGTCTTCACTGCTGAGAAAAGTTGTCATCAAACTGACAAAAACATTTTACATTATCAAGATACAGCATGATGCCACTCAGTTTAAATTTTATTCAATAGAGCACTTGGGTCTCCCCTCTTTCTGAAGCCTTTGACTCCTCAGGGTGACTAGCATCTCATATATCCTTACAATGTCACCCCTGAATCACACATTAACCCTTTAACTCCCATGAGAGACCAAGGTAGACTTTCTCCTTAAAATATCAATACAATATCAACCAGATAAGTGATGAGAATAAAGAAAAATATCAATTTGGGGATAATTAGTTGATCCATTACTAAATTCTCTGAACTAAAATCATAAGAATTGTATGATTGATAGTAAGGAGAATTAAAAATTTAATCAGGGAGTTAAAGGGTTAAGGACACAAATTAAAGAAAATGATCATTTTGATGAAAATTGATTTTAAATAAATTCTCCTCTACAACATGTCAGGAAATTTATAGAAAACAGTTGGGAAAATATGAATACCGATGTTAGAGTGAAAAGAGTTTATGTTAAAATTTTATTTCCTGGTCCAGGATCCAGTTTAATTTCACTTAATATAACAAAATGTTAACTATGATTCTTGCCCCTGTTATCCAACAAGTCAAAATACTGCAGAAAGATCACTACCAATATACCTTTATCAGACTTAGAGCCTCGACCCTTGGTAACTTTTGCTGGTTTTAGACCTGTAAAACAAAAAACAACAAAATTAGACCTTTCAGAAAAAACTCACTGGATAGCTTTTGAGAACCTGTTTACAGTGTGTCTGAGGATGCATTGTGGCCTTTTGGCTGGATAGCATTTGGGAGTCTGCAGAGCTACTACAAGTAGAATTCCACTTTAATCTATCATTGCCAGAGTAGATGTGTCAATTGAAAGGTTAGTGTGCTGGATTCCAAGTCAAGAGGTCTGGGCAAGAGACCTGACTGGGTCAACATTTTGTGATGTTGGGCAAGACACTTAACTCTTATGCATTTTTACTATTTCGCACATTTTCAGTGTGTAAATCTCAGTATGTATATATAATAAAAATGGGTAGGGGTAAATTTTCAGGGAGGCCTGATGAAACGCTAGGAGGGGTAACCTTGCAATACACTTGCATCCCATCCAGAAGGACAAGTGATACTCCTTGTCACTCCAAGTTATGAAAACAGAGATAAGCTCCAGCTGGGTAGGCCACTTGGCTTCAAAACAGAGTCATGCACATGTATCATCAAACATACCTCTTCCAAATGTAACCGCGGAAACAAGACTGTTGAGGTCAGGATTAACAACAGATGAGCTTCTTGATGCTAAAAAAAGAAAAAAAATCAAGTATGAATCCAAGTTAAAAATTCGAGTCCATTTTGATATATAATTATTGCTAAATTTGCATGAAACACAATTAATGCAAATTTTAATACCTGCACTTTGCTCTCCCTCCCAGTCCTCTCTTGCACTTGATATAAGATTAAAAAGATTTTCAGCAAGTTCATTCAGTGTGTCTTTCTGCTTCTGTAATTGAACATGGTAAAAATTAAAAATGAACAAGATTACCCTAAGTTTTCAGTTTATAAATATACTGTATACCACAGAGTGTATGCTGTAATTGAAACAACATTACACCAAATGATATATGAACAATTTAAGGGGGGGTCTAAGGATTATTCACTTGCCTCAACCCTTTCGGATCAATATCAGTATCTGGTCAACTGCCCACCTACCCCTCCCCTGACCCAACATTAACCCTAGCTTGTTATCAATTGACTGCTGTTGAGTTAGGGGAGGGGTAGGTGGGCAGTTGCCCAACTACTGATATTGATACCCTTTCACTGAAACCCAAGTAATTTCCTTCCCTCCTTACCCCCCTCCCAAAAAAAAAAACTAACACAACAATTAAAAAACATAGATAAGTTTTCAAAGCTAACATTATTATAAGTAGGGAATGACAGACAAGAAGAGATCTTGGGAGAGAAAGGGATGAGTGGTATTCTCTGTTTTCTGATAACCCTTTAACTCCCAGAAGTGATTAACATGTTACTTCTCCCTATCACATCCATACATTTTCCAACAAACAGGTCATGAGAATACTCAAACATTAAGTAGAGGGCTGTTATCTTGACCAAATGCCAAATTCTCGTGATTAATTTACAAGGAAAGGTGTAACAGCTTGAAGAGAGAATTGACATTAGGATCTTTGGAGTTAAAGAGTTAAAATTAGTTTCTATATACCTGAGCTTCATCTGGTGGGATGTTTGTTGCCATTGTTTCCACCTTCTGTTCAGACTCCTCTATCTCAGGAGCATACTTTGTTCGCAGATAGTCTGGGACTGGAATGAAAAAAATTCAAAATTTATGAGTGGGCACTGTATAAATTGTGTAGTATAAACAAATTAATACTCACCAACTTCATGGTCAAATGCATGTATACGACCTTCGCTTGCTTTCTAATAAACCACAAAACAGAAAAACTTGTAAATGAATTAGAATTTGTACACCCCTTTGCTAACATTACTCTGACCAGAAGTCCTGTGACAATGCAATTTGACTTTTATTCAGAATTCTGACTTGATTTGAGTTCGAGAGTCCAGGTTATTTTACATCTCTAGTATCAGGGATTTGACTGTTACTCTAACTATCAAGGTACTGAGAACGTCACATGGGCACACAAACTGAAAATTACAGGACACTCAGCATGTCACATTGTCACACATGTCACGCTGGCAGTGAAGGGGTTATGATGTCACACTGTGATAGTTATTATACAAAAATATTGATCATCATCAATGGTTAATCCTAAACATAAAGGTCTCTCTTTCTTATGGACTTGTTGGCAAGTTTGTTTCACAATAGACTTAGGGAATATTTGGTAAACATATTATTTTATTCCATAAGCAAGAATATCATTATAGTATGATTTACATTTACTCTACACTGTATATCTGCCGCAAATGTACCTGTATATCTGGGTCTGTTTCTTGTTGTACTAATACAGGCAGGAGCACCAGGTTTCGAAAGGGGGGAGTTTTGTCATTCTTCAGGAGTTTTGTCAATGTATTTACTTGACCTGTTCAACAGAGATGCATAACATGTAGACAAGCTCAACACATTAAACAATGAAAATTAAACTAGGGATTGTAGCCAAGAGATTACACAGAACCCTTTGACCCCTGAGAGTGACCAGCATCTAATTTCTCCTTACAATATCACCCCTAAATCACACATTCATGTCACAAGAATAAAGAAATGATCACCAAGTAAAGAAACACTTAATATTCAAATGAATTCTCCTTATCAGCACCTTAACCCTTTCACTCCCACAAGTGACCAAGACACAATTTCTCCTTACAATATCAATACAATATCAAGCAGGCAGGTGATGAGAATAGAGAAGAATATCAATCATGGGACTATTAGTTGATCCAATACCAGATTCTCTGAACTAACATCATAAGAATTGTATGGCAGATAGAAAGGAGAATTACTAATTAGATCTTGGGAGTGAAAGGGTTAAGAAACGTATGGAGAACAGTATGGAGAATATGTTTATTGATGTTAGGATGTAAAGAGTTAAACAGGCAACAATAAACCTACCTGATAAGAGAGCATAGTTATCCAAAACCGAGGGCCTGCAACAAATAGTAAAGTGAGTTGGTAATGCTTCAGATGGTTACAAGAATTATTCTTCTAAACAGCGAGCTAGGAAATTTAAACGTGCAAAGAGCAGCTAATGATTCTCTTACCAGTTCATTTGCTCGTGCTCCAGTTTCATCAGGAAGGCTTGAATTGCTTCCTTTAATTCTTGGACTCTGCTGGATACTGCTTCCAGAGAAACTTCTAATAGCTTCTCGTCCTATTCGTTGAATGAAAAAATTTCAAATCGAGATGGAATAAAAGTCGTATTATATACAGACATGCAGAAAAGTTCTGATAGATAATGTAGGATTTTGAAAAACAACAACTGCTTAATCAAAGTAATAATATACGGTATTAATTTGCAGGAAAGCTTATGAGAGGTACAAGAATCACGTAATAATTAATTCACACTCAAAAGAAAATAAAATTATTGAGATCAGACCTGCATTTTCGCGAACTTTCGCACAGTCGTTTTCAGAAAAAAGGCCTCTACGATAAACTCTCCGATGATTTGATGTCTGCCATGACTGAGCCCACGAATAGGAAAGCAAAGACGAACTGCATTCACGCGTGCGCGCGCAATGGAACGTCTAGTAAACATGGCGGACGAGCTCATCAAATGCTGAAGAGTTTAAGATGCAAAATTTTAGCCCTTCTTGTGGCTTCTATTTACACGATCCTTACCATTTATGCACTTCAGGTGCTTCTAGTAAGCGAGAACCAGAAGAGACATCCCAAAGGACTTGTGATCACTTCTCAGTCGCCCGCGACTTTCTACCGTGTTCCTAGAAAAGCTCCTCAATATCGACAAAAGAATTTGGTTGAGGTTGAAATCTGGGGTAAAGCTGCGATCGGGCTTTATTTATGGGAGCATATTCTTGAGGGGCCCTTAGAGGAAAGACTTGGTGGAGCATGGCGCTACGGCGAAAAGCAAATTCAGAATATCAAGTTCATATTTCGGACTGGACCATGGGTGGTACCAAATAATGTTCCACAACAAACCAAGAGTCTTGTGCTCGTTATCAACGGACGAGAATCGAAAAAAGTGGAATTTGCAAAGGCATGGCTTCACTCTCTTCAAGATTTTCCGCATCTTCAAAACATAGGGGTTGTTCTCTTGGGAAACGAACGCTGTGAGAATGACTGGTTATATTCCTACATGAAAAATAATGGAGGTCACGTGACATTTGCCTTCATTGTCTATGATATCGCTTACGCAGATTCTGAAATCTATTTCCAGTGGCCTCTGGGAGTAGCCACTTATAGAAATTTCCCAAATGTTCCATTTCTTTCCATTGATGTTCAGAAACCTCGTAAATTTAAGTGTAACTTTTTAGGAACTGTTTATCCAAACTCTTCTCGAGTAGTGTTGCAGACAGTGATAAAGAAGTTTAACCTTGAGGATGAGTGTTTTATGAAGACTAGAGACACTTGGTCACCGGGTGAAAGTTCACAATCAGCCAATGACTATCACTATGCTCTAGCTAACAGCGACTTGACTCTTAATCCAGTGGGAATGAATACAGAATGTTATCGCATATATGAAGCTTGTTCCTATGGATCCGTTCCTGTCATTGAAGATGTTGTCACACCTGGCCATTGTCGGAAAGGAAATGAATTTCCACTACAACTGTTAAAGAAATTCAAGGCCCCATTCATTTATGTAAAAGACTGGAACGAGTTACCAATGATCATTGAAAAGGAGAAGAATTTAACTCACAATGATGTCGTTAAAAGGCGAAAAAAAGTGTTATTGTGGTACAAAATGTTTAAGGAAACCATGAGGGACAAATTTGTTGAGACTATACAACAAAACTTTGCTGCATAAAGTGTTAAATAATTTTTGTAATTTGACATGTGCAATGTATGTATACCTGTATTTCTTTTTTTCCTTTTTTTCATTTAACCTCATCACTCCCAAGATCTCTTTAGAAGTTTTCCTTACTGTCTGCCATACAATTCCTATGATGTCAGTTTTGAGGATTTGGTATCAGATCGGCTAATAATCCACTGAATCAGTAATTGATATTTTTCTCTATTCCCATAACTTTTCTGCTTGATATTGTATTGATATTGTGGGGAGAAATTCTGTCTTGGTCACTCGTGGGAGTTAAAGTATTAAGGATAGAGTGCTGGGGTGTCATTTATCAGAGGTTGGTGAATTTGACTACGAGGCACAATTCTCAAGCCAAGTTGCCTTGAGGTGTAGAGAATGTTTTCATTTTGATGAAGGGCTAACATTTGAAATGCCAGTGTTAGGAATTCTTTATGGTAGCAAGCTTATATTTATTTATCAACTCACCTAATTATCTCATGATAACTCTAGCGACTCAGCTCCACAGGTTTTAGAAACTTACCCCCTCTTACAACAAACATTTTGGAAGGGACATAATCAAGTGAACATGATACCACAATACCACATTTCTATGGATCAATAGGTAGAATAGCTAAAAACAAACCATTGTTTCCTCTGTTTTTTGCTTTATTTTTGCTAAATAAGGTAATAGAGAATATCACTATTCCACACAGAAAATGTATTTTAAAGACAGACCTTTCTTGTTTAAACCAATTTACATTGGACGTATTCAGTCACATGACACTGGTCATAGTAGCATGCATGTGTCATATCACTTGCCTTTCACCCTTTGGAGCAGTGTTCCCTTGAGTACTAAGAAAACTGCTTAGCCCTTAACACCCTAAAAGTGACCATTGTGTAATTTCTCATTTCACAGTTTTACTGTGGAATCATTCATTGAGATCATGAGTATAAAGTAAATGATCACCAGCCTAAGAAACATTGATTGTTGAATAGATTCTCCTTGTCCGTTTCAAAGAAAATGTACAGAAAAGAGTATGGAGAATATGGATGCTGACCTTAGGGTTCAAAGAGTTAATGAGGACTGTTCCGTTTTTAACAAAAAGGGGACTGCTTGAAGACATTGATTCTCTACCTTGGTAGACAGTCTTCTTAGAGAATTATTTTCTTTCTTTCTTTCTTTTTTATTGTTGGCCTATGTTGAGCCAGGAGCAAGATTCTGTGAGGAACTCTTAATACGGGTCTGGAATCAAGAAAAATAGGCCGGGTGAAATTTTTTTCTGAGATCATAAACATGGAAACTTTGCTATGTGGAATTTCACTTTATTTTGGTCTAAATTTTCTCTCTCATTTTAGGAAAAAGGCAGAAACTTCTAATTTATTCTTCAAAAGTAGATCATAATCTAGGACTGAATTTGTTTCCCATCACATAATTCAGTTCATTCGCACATTTTCACCTTCTTCCCGTTTCCCACCCCCCCTTCCTCTTGACCAGCGGTGTCGCGCGTGAGTAGTTAGCGTGGCGGAAATGGCAGACGACTGTTATTTGGTTAAGAAACTTGTCGAAAAGGAAGCCTGCAAAGATTTTGCATGACATTTTGCAAATCGCTCATCATTTAAATGATTGTGTCAATATGGACCTTACCTGAAAGGTAAATCAGAAACGAAAATGGAGGAAGACGGTGCAGCGCAAGAGGTAAGTTCTCGAGTCGATCATAAGTTCTTCCCGATGTTTCCTCGTGCTTCACAGCGATTCCAAGTAAATCAGAGATGCAAGGCTCATCTTAAAGTGTTATTTATAGACAATTATTTTTTCTTAATTTTTATATTCTTTCTTTTAAGAAAAGGCCTCGTTTTGGCTCAGATAACGGTTACTATCAATAAATTTGAAAAAAATAATTAATTGAAATTTGAGTCCTTGCACAACTTTGTATCCACTTTGAAAGTGGATACACTGTCTCCCTCTCCCCTAGTCCATAGTAGTGCAACAGTTCTTTTTTCAGAACAACGATATTATTTTTGTGATTGGAAAGACTGGATAGCTGTTGCAAAGACTAAAAGTAGCTTTGAGTGACTGAATCCTAATTTCGTCTCACAGTATTACCCTTGAATCAAATGTAAAGGTCCCGAGAGTAAAGGAAATGATCACCAATTCAAAAAGCTCTTGATTGTCAAACAAATTCTCCTTGTCAGTACCGTAAGAAATGTAAAGAGAACAATGTAGAGAATATGAATGCTAATGTTGAGGTGTAGAGGGTGAAGTATTTACATGGTATGATTTGTCTATGTATGCCAAAGAAAACAAATACCTGCAAATAAAGTAAGGAAACAAACAAAGCTCTAGTAATGAGGTTTTTCTCCTTAATTTTCCCTAAATCATCTGAATGAGCTCCTTCTCCAACAGAGAGAAGAAGAGATGGAAATCATGGTTCAGTAGTTTTGTGGAAATTATCAGGTTTTATATTAAGTTACTGCACCTTTCAATAACAAAAACATTTTGGATTTATATTAATTTACTTATTTCCTGCTTTGGATAACTGTTACAAAAATAGTTGATTTTTACATTAAAAAAAACAATTGTAAGATTTTCTTAGAACTTAAGAATTAATTTTGTTGGTTTGCTCTGTTTATTTTGATAGGAAGATGCTCTTCATGTGTTTCTTCTCATGGGAAAGGAGTACAGAATCTCAAGGAGTATCAGAGCTCAGTGGTTCTTTGAACAGTTTAACAAAACTCTTTCTGATCCCAAGTCACATGATGAACTGGTAAGATGACAGTCAATGGTGCTCCAAGTTGAAAAAGTTTTGGTTACCATGGCAACTATCGGAAAAAGTTTGGTTACTGAAGTTGCCAATTTGGTGACATTTGTTTGGAGGTTCTGTAGCAAGCTGTGGCCATAGTCTCAATTTAATCCTTCACCTCCTAAGATCTGATTGTTAATTCTCTCCTCCAGCTGTTACACATTTCCTTGTAAATTAGTTATGAAGTAAGATCAAGATACATTTAACAACTTCTATACCTGATAAGTTTGAGTATTCTCATTACCTGTTTGCTTGATAATGTATGAATCTTATGAGGAGAAATTACATATGTATAACTTATATGAGTTAGATGGTGAAATTCCCTTTTTTTAGCTTCTGTAATTTAAATATTATTTAGTTGAGTTTTGAGCTCTACACAGTCATCCAACTTAACAATGCACATGAAATTTACCGTGCCTAATAATGCTTTGTGTACAAGATGTGCCCAGTGGGTTGATTTACCTAGACTCTAATAATGTTCTTTTTTTGTGGTCTAGATTGCTTCTAATGAAGAACTAGAAGTTTTGTCAGTCATTTCAAATAATCAAGACAAGCATGGACCCTACAAACTTGTTCCTTCAACTCAAATTACATTTATTGGCAGGCGATACAGATTTGTATTTTGCTTTGACATCAGCCCATCTCTTGCTACTGTGGTAAGAATGTAATGAAATTGTAAAGAATTGTTGGTCTTCATGGAATTTTTTTCCCAAAAAGAAAATAAATGACAGTTTAGCAGTGTGTTCAAGTAGTATTTACACAATGAAAATGTTTTTTTTCTTCCAGGATATCCAGTCAGGGACTGTAATAACTGATGAGGCATTTGAAAAATTTAAAAACTGTCTGAATGGCCTAGTTGCTCCAGTAAGTAAAATTTTTTATTTATTTATTAATTGTTTACAATTCTGTGTTAGCTTAACTTGTTATTTTCTGGGTGAGTGAATGGTGGCATATCTATTAATGGGAACATATGTATTGCAAATTGAAGTCTTCAAAGTAATGTTAGGGGCCTTCTTTAAGCTGTGAGGACAGCAACGCCAAGGAAGATGTCAATTAAAAAAAGGAAAGAAATGTTTAGTTAGAATGTCACCAATGGTTGGGTTGAAACTTGAATAATTCAGGTCTTAAGACTAGGCAAATTTTGGTGGTTTCACATCTTTGTTTTGCAGAGGACAGCTAAGAAATATACAAAGTTTTAAAATGTCTATGCTGACTTGTTGTTCTACCTATTAGATCTTTTGTTTTGCGATGTCCTTACTGCCTTTGATTCATTACCATACCCATCATATAATCATGCATTGAGCACTTTGCTGAAGCAGAATATCTAAGTGTACTGTGTTCCAGCCATGATTCACAGCATGAGCACAGAAACTCCAGGGTATAAACACTTCATTTATCCAAAAGATTAACAGTCACACTCACTTTCTCTGCAGTTCTCTGTTCCTGGTAACACCATTGTGTTACGTCCTGAGTTGTATATCACTGTCTTAGCATATACTTCCAACTTGGATCCTGAAGTTCCTCAGGTGAGTTTATTTAATATATTTTTCAATTTGAGGATTATTTTATTTACTTCCTCACAGTAGTTTATAAGGTAGATGTGGAGGCCTACACTGTAGTGGCTAGTGCGCTTTACTCTTGGTCAAAATGTTGGGCTTAAGACCTGGTTGCATCACTGTATTGTGTTCTGGGCAATACATTGAACTCTCACAGAGCCTCACAATCTTCACCCAGGAGTATAAATGGGTACTGGCTATATCAGGGTAGCCTGGTAGGGGTGTAACCTTCTGGACAATGGAATGGCATCTCACCCACAGGGGAGTGGTAATACTCCAAGATGCTTCATGCCATAGAAACCAGGATAAGTTGCTGGTTCAAGTACAGACTTAACCTTTTTTAAATTGTTCACACTGGGTGACCTATTGCTTGAATAAATGAATTTATGAGTTACACTTTCAAACAGAGGAAAAAATCAAAACTTCTCCCTAATTAGCTTGCAGCTTTCTTTCTCTTTAAATCTTTTCCCTTTGCAGTTGTTTAAGCCAATGAAATGGAGACCACTTGTTTTTTTGGTTTGTTTTTCTTTTTCAAGATTCTTATCCAGGGCTGCCTTGTGACAGAAGAAAATATTAACTTTGTTCTGGAGTCAGTACACAAGCAACTAATGGAGCTGGAGGACTTCTTGGCTAAGACTACATCTAC